GTGTTTGGTGGTTGCAATGACACTCTTTTGAGCCTTTTTAGAATAAGGAAATTTTCTTTTCTTGATTTACGTATGTCAGTTTTTGTATTTGGCCTTTTTTATCTTAGCCTCTTGCAACTCTTTTTGTATGGTGTTCTATATTACACATTTTTGTTGAGTTAACGCTTTTGCTCTTAGTTTTTCCTTACAATTTTTTTCATAGTTATCCGCATTTCATTGTTTTTTACACAATCTCTTCTCTTGTAACTAATTTTCAATTAATGGAAATTGAACTTTGCCCTTTAACTTTCCCAAAAAAAAAATAAAAAAAAAATACTAACCCTTTTTTTACCTCAAAAATATCTCTAAAATCCAAAAATCACAACTCTTGTGTGTGGTCCAATCAAATCACGTGGCTTTCTCCATAAGTGATTAAACCCTTTAAAGAGAAGTATCCAGTATGATCTTCTTTGTCATGGCACATTAAGGATCCGCAAAACCTATGATGTGACCTTCTATACAATAAGAACCTCCATAGCTTAAATAATAATAATAATAATAATTATAAAGAATTTTTCTTATTCATGCAGAATTAAAATCAAACTTGAAGTTATGCATCACAATTTTTAAAATTCCTAAAAAATTATATAAATTATTTTTTGAGTTATTTATTTGATTTTTTTTTTTAAATTTAAATTTAATAAAATATGATAAAAATTCTAGCAAAACTCCATTAAGCTTTTACAATATATATATATATATATATATATATTCAATTAAGTGTGTCAATTTTTTTAGGTCTTAAATGATATTGAAATATAATATATCTACTAATCCTCAACCAAGTATGCCAATCCCTCAACCCTTTAATACAACAACAACAAGCATTTGTCCCACTACGTGAGGTCGGCTACATGAATCTTTTTTTGTCATTGTGTCCTGTTAAAAGTCAAATTCTCATTTAAATCTAATAAAGAAAGATCATTTCTAATATTTTATAACCAAGTCTTTTTAGGTCTACCTCTATCTTTCTTAACATAAGTCAAATCTAATACCTCAACTTTCCTAATCGGGTCATCGGAAGACCTCTGTTTAATGTGACCAAACCATCTAAGGAGACTCTCTCTAATCTTATCTTCCACTGGAGCTACTCCAACCTTTTCACGTATATGATCATTTCGTATCCTATCTCTAAGGGTAAGCCACTCATCCACATAAGCATCCTCATCTCTACAACACTTAACTTAGTATTATGCTTTTCTTTTAACGGCCAACATTCGGCACCATAAAGCATTGCAAGTCTCACCACCATCTTATAGAATTTTCCCTTAAATTTGAGGGGGAATTTTCTATCGCACAACAAGCCCGATGTATTCCTCCACTTCAACCATCCAACTTGAATTCTATTGATAATATCCCCATCTATTTCACCATCACTCTAAACAATAGATTCAAGATATCTAAAATGTGTACTCTTATTAATGACTTGATTGCCCAAACTCACAATCCCCTCACTAGGTCTATTGCTAATAAAATTACACTCCATATATTTAGTTTTAGATCTACTCAAGAGAAAACCTTTAGACTCTAAGGTTGACCTCCATAATTCAAGTTTACCTTCAACTCCCTCTCTAGTCTTATCAACAAGAAGAATATCATCAACAAAAAGCATACACCAAGGTACATCCTCTTGCAAATGTTAAGTGAGAACATCTATGACTAAAGCAAAAAGATGGGCTTAAGGCTGATCATTGATGTAATCCAACCGAAATAGAAAAATACTTGGTCAAACCACCATGTGTTTGAACACAAGTAATAGCTCCTATATACATATCTTTAATGATTTGAATATAAGTGTTATTAACATCTTTCTTTTCAAGAACTCTCCATAACACTTCTCTTGGAACTTTATCTTATGTTTTCTCTAAATCAATAAATATCATATGTAGATCATCCTTATTCTCTCTATATTTCTCCATCAAACATCTCAATAAATGTATGACTTCCATAGTGGACCTACCTGGCATGAATCCAAATTGATTTTGAGAAATATTAGTATTACGCCGCAACCTACGCTCCATAACTCGCTCCCATAGTTTTAAAGCATGACACATTAACTTAATTCCTCTATAATTCGCACACTCCTGTGCATCACCTTTATTCTTAAAAATAGGAATTAACACACTCATTCTTCATTAATCTGACATTTTTTTAATCTTCAAAACAGTATTAAAAAGTTTAGTAAGCCAAGAAATTCATTCATCTCCTAAACATTTCCACATCTCTATTGGAATATCATCAGGTACAACAATTTTTCCACACTTCATTTTTTTTAAAGCCTCTCTAACTTCAAGTTTACTAATACGCTGATAAAAACAAAAATCTTTATTTTCATTTTGGGTGCTAAAGTCACTAAAGTCAACTGTATTTTCACATTCTTTTGCAATATTCATAATATCACTAGCCATTTTTTCTCACATAACATTAGCATCCTCATGCACACACAAAATCTTAAAATCTAAAGTCTTACTCTCAAAAATATTTTTGTAATATTTTTTAAAAACCCTACATCTAATCCTAGAAAATCTTTATAATTTATTTTTTATTTTCTGTCCCTTTATCTTAAAGTCCAAAACTAATAATCGATAATAGGTACATAAATTTTCACTCAGAATAACTTTATAATCTTTGCAATATAAACGATCTAATTTTCTTATAAGAAAATAATCAATATACATTTTACTATATATATATATATATATATATATATATATATAATAAGATGCTCATCTCTTTTCTTAAATAAGGTATTAACTATTAAAAAATCAAAAGTTAAAGAAAAATCTAATATGATCTTACTACCTTCATTTGTCGTTCCAAATTTATGGCCACTATGAATGCTTTTAAAATCATGTACCAATCTACTAATATGTCCATTTAAATCTCCTCCAATAAAAATTATTTCTTCACGAGATATCTTTTGTATTAATTCTTCCAAGACATTCTAAAATTTTAATTTTGAACCAATATCTAAACCTACTTGAGGAGCATAAACACTTATAATATTAACAATCTTATCATCAACAACAATTTTTAAAATTATAATTCTATCTCCAATTCTGTTAATTTTTATAACATTATCCTACAAACTCTTATCTATGATCATATATACACCATTTCTAGTATGACTCATACCCGAATATCATAGTATATATTCTAAACTATCAATCTCCTTAGCATTCTCTCTAACCCATTTAGTTTTCTAAATGCATAGAATATTTATCTTCATATGAATTATAATATCTATTTATTACATTAATTTTTCGATAAGAGAGCATATATTCCATGTTCTTATCCTAAATTTAGTTTCCTGAACTAGGTTCTTTTGCTCACATCTATCCTTAATGTGGGAACCCTTACATATTTAACACTACACCCGGGTGCCGGTGCAGCGGCCCTTGCACACTTGTCGCTGTATTCAGGCCATACAATGCACCACTTCAAGAGGACCCCCTAGCATTAACACAATTTTTTAAAGGATTTGTGTCATGATTATTCGACAAGTTTTACGCTGGTTGTCGACTACCTAACGCAACCCTTCATTTTCTCATCCAGAACTTAGGACCTGACAACGACAGTGTTCCCTCAACCCTCCAATAAAAGATTAAATTACCCCTCTATGACAAGTCTAACCCATCACTAAAGAATGACGTTAATTTATCACCCACAAATGAATTCCACACATCCCTTGCAATGAGGGCATTATAGTTTACCATCCAAAATGCTCTTATAACAAATTCTAATAAATTTTCTCTACACCTTCATTATCCTTTCATGATAAGTGACAATATCCCTTGAGGGCAAGATTAAACTAATAACTTCAATTGGATCCCTTACTTTCCTGAAAAAAGATTGACATGATTGATTCCTCCCACAAACATCAGTGCTCATTACAAGAAAATACAAATGCAAATACCATTGACTTTCAATCCCTCCAAAATCAAGATAAACTACAACTCTACAATAGTAATTCTCCAAGAAAGCTTTGCCACTTCAAACCATATTCCCAGGGGAGGTTATCCTTAGTCGAACTCACCTACAATATCTAGCTCCTCAATCAATGCAACAAGAATTTAGACCAACCTAATCCATTCATGAGTTATCAGGCAAAGTAGACTATATGTCCCCTTAAATGTTACAGCAGTAGTAAATCAAACCATGCACATTTTTAATGGGTCACCCTAACAGTCCACTATTCAAACCCAGTCTACATCCTCTCAAGCAAGAATAATCAACCTTAATGAACATATTCTAAATTCACTGTCAAACCAACAAATCTAAAACTACAATCTCTAGTGGAGTCTTAACGTCATGAAAGAATGTGAGGTGTATCTTCAACAGTGCATTGACAACAAGTGCATGAATTATTCAGGTATGATGAGATGAAGAGGATGCGTCTCCGTCCTACATATCTTCCTAGTCTCCACCATATATAGCACCAGGCACATCTCACTTTCAGGTTGCAAACATGGTTGTTGAGGGTGGTGCCAGTGACCACGAGCAAGCAATAATGCCTTCTTATATTTGACCTCAATACCGTTGGCCACCTAAAAGTGCTGTTGGTGAGCCACCTCAACAGCATTTTTCAAGATGATAGTTCCGTGGACGTTAAAAAAAAATTATATATGATAGGACAAGCACTCCTTGACATCTGTAGCCACCCATTAAAAGAACAAATGGAACATCAAAGGAATACAATAAATAAACTTGTGAGTTGAAAATTTAGACCATAGAATCTTTCCTACCTGAAACCTGAACCTTATATGCAAGAAACTAAGCCTGGCTTGTATTAAAATAATTATAATAATGAAGATTCAATACTTAGACGTTCCTTCCTCAGCATAAAAACAAGCACACGTAAGGTTCATTGGGCACTTTTAATTCTATAGCTAAAAATAAAAATATCCATTATTAACATTATTTGCACATAACCTTCTGCATAAATTTTGGAGAAAATTGTATTTTAACATTTAGGTCTTTGTTTTTTGAAAAAAAAAAAAAAAGGATCAATCTGCAAAGCAAAATAACTCAAGTCGATAAGACAAAATCTGACCTGCATTTTACTCAGGAAAGATATCTGAGCCTCAACTAAGCATGGTTTCACAGAACAAAACTGCAAATGTACTTCTGAAATTCCGCATACTGGAAAAGAAGCTAAGCTGATCAGCGAGATTAAATGAAGTTAGAATTAGTTTGTGTAGACTCCGATGAAGGTGAAACATGCAACGGTGAAGAAGTACGTGCAGCAATGTTCTTGTCCTCTTTGCTGTTATTTGAAGAAAAGGGTCTATTGTCTGCTTCAGATTTCATGGTTTTAGTTGGTTTAGCTTCCCATGGTGTCCATGCCACTCGTGTATTTCTTTGGTTACGAAAATCATCTGGACGACATGTCGCTCGCATGTTATAGTCATAGCATCCAAAAAGTGGGTGATTAAATTTGCAATTTGAACCGTACCAGCAGGCTCCATTTAGATTGTAGTAAATACAAACAGGCTGGTCCTGGATCATCCACAAGCAAGAAAATGGTGTCAGAAACAGGGAAATTATAAGGCGCAAGCAACACATGTAAAGCTATGTGTGTAAAATTGGAGCACACAATTGTGTAGTCACACGTCATGCGAATATACAACAGTGTATTATCGGACGCATGAGTACACAGCTGTGTATTGCTTTTCGCACGGAGCTCTACATATCTTGCCCACGCCTAATAATTTTTTCAGAAACAGGCTCGTTGATGGATTAGAAGTTTTATTGCAAGAAAAACTTTCTAAATTCAAAAGTATAAAGTATTACAGGTCTCAAAGGAAGGCCGTGGGGTCCAAGAGTGCTTGTTGATACGGAGCTTCTTTCTTTTGGGTGATGAAACTTACAAGTTGAACCATATTTACAGTTCCCAGTTTTCAGGTAATAATGGCATTCTGGTCGATCTGGTCTCTCAGGGAAATTTGGTGTATTGCTGAGACTAGACTGTGTGATGTTATTGGATTTTGGTATTGGAGTAGGTCCAAGGACATCAGGAGATAGTTGATGATTTACAAAGCCCTGGTTCAGTTGTAGAGATTGTTCAGACATGCGTCAGACAGAAGAATTGAATTTGTATAGTTGATATATAAAAATAGTAGTGAAATTTCACAGATATATTCATAGCTTATGATTTAAATAGAATGAAAAGCAAATGAGTAAATAATTTGTTGACAAAGCAATCTTGCCAAGGAAGCATATTATCATAACTACTATCCCATCAGATAAAATGCTACTTTCTTCAGGTTAATGAGAAATTTCATGGTCTATAGTATCCATCTAGAAAAGTAATCTTAAAAATATTTTCTGCATATATTTAAAAGCGGATATAAAAAATTTGCCGAAACATTTATGAGATAGAAGAATATTGTTTACACACTTGATATGAACAGTAGAGTGAAGTTTTGCTAATATTTCATATTGTGGGCTCCGAAAATTCCCGCTCCCCAGCCTCTCCGCGCTAGCTCCTTTCTTATTGTTTGTGATGACGGAGAGTTTTAACAAGCTTAAGTTCCGGATGAATTTTCAGAAAGCAAATTAGGTTTCAGATAAGACACTACCCAGAGATTTCGCCCTCATATTGTGAGGACTTTATGATCTAAGTTCTGGTTCCCTATAGGCGCAAGCCCCTATAGTTAATTACCTCTCCCGATAATGAGAGAGAACTTTCGATTAAGGCTAGTCATTAAAGAGGTGGCATGGGTCATAAATCCAGTGTATAATAGCAACAATTTTAGGGTTTGAATTTGGGTATATGGATTTTGGAGTTTGAGACTTAAAATTTATCACCATAAACATAAAATTAGTGACGGACGAATGAAGACGAGCCTGATCAAGATCCCATGGTTCCCTCGTCCCGGGCTATCATCATCCCAAGTTGACCTCCACAGAAGAAAAAAATCAAATAAAAAAATATAAAAAACCTGTACTAGGCCGTGGCCCATCACATATCCCTGTGTAAATTCTGCAGGAATCACATGCAGCTACAATGCTCCATATCTCTGCAACAGCGCCATTTGCAGACCTGTCGCGTTTGCCTCGATCGCCTGATACTCGAGTAGTCAAAATGAGGAAGAAACGAAGTTGTTGGTTTCTGCTCTTCCCCGCTATCTTCTAAGCACAATCCCCGTTAGTTCTTCCGAACTCCTCCACAGAGCTTTCTTCCCTCTGTCTCTACCGAACCCCATATCTTCCCCTCCACTATAAGACGTTAACCAAGCTGTAAGATCCACAAATGGAAATGACCCCAAACACCCCGATGATAGCCGTGTTGAATATTTATCTCAACCGGAAGGATTCATAAATACTTTCAAATGCCACTCAAATACTAAAAAATCTAAATATTCAAAAATAAAAATCTCAAAAGTCTAAAATATTTAAATTTGAAATAAACTATTGAACACTTAAAGCAAAATACATCCACCCACCATAACAGTTTGTTGGGGTGGATTAATTGAAATTTACTTTAGCTCACATAGAGCTAATGCCTAGTCGAAAAAATCACTAGGATCCATTCTTAAATAACCTCCTGTCAGTAAGGATGTGGTATGTGTTCTCTGAACGGTGGGTTTTATGCCAAATGGCACCGCAGGATAAATGATTATTACCTGGGGTCCTCTGAACCGAGTGGTTCTGCTATCAAATGGCACCACGAGATAATAGTTATGGTCAGAGCCAATACGTTCCTTAGTGATATTAAATCCATGAGATATGAATCAATAAGATATAATCGGTAGGGCACAAAACCCTCTGTTAGCTAAGGTGGATTCAAATTTGTCCTCTTAGACAAACATTTATCCCAAGTTTATGTGGTCCCCTTGGACGAAGCAACCCATGGCTGCCGACAAGGATCCTTCTATCAGGTTGGGTCGACTATCTCCTTTGACTAAGTAGACCAGGGACCACGATGACCCTGGATGACAGAACCATGTGATCTTGATCAGGTCCATCATCCATTCCCCCGTCATCCGCTTTAAGTGTAAAATGGTAAAATTTCTAATTTTAAATATCATATCTTCAAACTTCTAACATTTAAACCCATATTGCTACTATATACCAAATAACATGTATTCTTTACGTATCTGATTGAAGACTAGCCTTAATTGAAAGTTCTCCCGATATCGAGAGGGGTAATTAACTATAGGGGCTTGCGCCTATAGGAAACCATAACTCAGATTATAAAGTCCTCATAAAATGAGGGCGAAATCTCTGGGTAGTGTATTATCTACAAACTCATATGGCTTCCCAAAATTTACCCTAGAACTTAATTTGTTAAAACTCCGCCAGAAAGAAGTAGGCAGAGGCCGGAGCCAAATTTTCAGATCCCACAGTCCCTTGTCTACTTAGTCAGAGGAGGTAGTCGACCCAACCTGACAGAAGGGACCTTATCGACATCCATGAGTTGCTTTGTCCAAGAATACCTTGTAGACCTAGGGTGGTGTTTGTCTAAGGAGATAGATCTGAATCTACCTTAGTTGATAGAGGGCTTTATACCTATCAAACATATCCTATGATTCATTACTCAAGGGTTTGATGCAATTAGGGAACATACGACTTTGACCGTGATCGTAATATAATGGTGTCATTTTGCGGCAAAACCATTTGATTAGAGGGCACGTGCCACATCCCTAGTGGCAAGAGACTATTTGAGGATGAATCTTAGTTATACACTTGACACGACATTCGCTCTTTGTGAGCTGAGATGAATTTCAAATTTATCACTACCGAAAAATAGTTGCAGGAGGTGGATGAGTTTGTTTTAAGATTTTTTAGGTGATAGATTTCATTTTATGAATTTTGGATTTTATTAGATTTGAGATTTGATCCCTCTGGTTGATATTTTCATTCAACATGGCCATCATCGGGGTGACGTTAAAGACACTGTATTATTTTTTAAGGAATTTGGAAGGCATTTCATGATTCAAGTCAGGTCTACTCCAATCCTTTCATGGAGAAGGATGAAAATTGAATATTTGATGAGCGCAATATTCCCGAACCGTTGAATATATGAATCATATATTATGATTGGAGCACATGCGGGTTGTGTTTAGTTTAAAAATAGAATGTTATATTAGTGAGCATTTGACCCTGCGCAATATTTCTCAGATATTTGTGTTTTTAACTTTTAACACATTTGTCGGAGCACATGCAAGATATATTTTCAAGTGTATTTTCAATATTATCGTTAGGATATCGCCTTCTGCCTGTTTGTAGAAGTAGGGTTGCAGATCCGGTGGCTTACCGCTGTGCTACAGGTTGCTTGTTTCTTCTTGTAGATGAACTGTCGTGCACTAATAAATTTCATGCAGTTGCTCGTATATGCTTGCATTTATCATAGGATTGTTGCTTTTGTTTGCAGGCAGTGTGTCACACTCACTATAATCTTCTCATTCATCATTGTTGAAGATCCGCGTAGGCTATCATATTTGCTATAAAGGCCCTATGCACACTTGCAGGCGACATACATTCTTAGCAGATTAATTGATATTGCCTGTATGTAAATTTAGTGTATTCGCTTGCGTATCAATATTAATTATCAAATGGGTTGCATTCACCATTAACTTCTTTACGCGTGTTGGCTGGCAAGTCGTCGTATTCATTACACATTGATTTTGTGTTTGTAGGACACTATCAGACATATGTTAAGGGTGTATTATGGTCCATAAGTGATCATTGCTTGTGTGATCAATGGTGATATTGCTATTTACCACCAAAGCTATAAAATCATTTTCTCTCTATCATTGCAACCTAAGTTACTTGCATCGGATGATCTGGTAACTGTACATTGTCAACTTAATTCAAAGCAATCTTTACATTTCTTTCATCTTGTGTAGACATATTTATCCTAAGATGACAACTGATAGCAAGAGCTGCTAATTTACTTATAGCAAATGGAATATTCTTATTAATGGTGATAGTATTTTGGAACGTCAAATTTTCACTTTGATTAATGTCAAATACAACTTGAGCATTAAACATTTTAAAATAGAATTGCAAAACTATAGAGAAGCATGAAATTAAACAGATGTGCTAGCATTAGAACATTCACCATTAAAAATGCTAGATATACATTCATCAATCTTCAAATCAGCAAAAGTTTCTTTGTATTTGTATTGATTGATGTATACATTTCTTCAAGGAAGAAACTCATTATCAGATATCCCTCTTAAATTAAAATATACATTAGATTTGTTTTGAATTAATATAGACTTTCCCAAATTCATCATTATATACAGTATCATCTGTCGAGGCTTTTCATCAAGTGACATTTTCATAAATTATAATTTCATAAGTGTTTTGATCAAGTTGTTTAGCAAGTAATTTTTGTATATGGCTTGCTTATATAATTAATATCATTCATGATTTTATGGTGGCTCATGTAATTTTGTTATCTCATTGAGAGTGAGATCCTGAAAAGAAGCTCGATTTGTATGCACCATATATCAAGTCAATTTCAAATCGAGTCAGATCATTTTTGCCATATTTCAAATTGATTAAAAATTAATAAAATTTCACTTTTAATCAATTGTGTGAGGGTTCTTTGATTGTTAAAAATTTTGGCAGCCTCCCAACATCCCCTCTCCACGAAGGGAGGGAGGGAGGGCACCTGCCCTTTCAAACCCGCCCAATTAGATAGGATTCGAGAGCCGAGAGCTTCAGGGGAGCAAATCGAGCCCGAAATTGGTCTTCCAGTCTTCAATTGCATCCGACCTGTTAATTAAGTGATTTAATTTTTATTAAATCCTTGTTTTTCTCTCTAAAAAGAGATCCTACAGCCATGAAGCATGATCCATGGGAAGCCCACATGAATCACGCCAATCGTGACTTGTTTCCACAGTGAAGTAGCTGATTTAGAAAGGAATATATGAGGGCAATTATGCTTGATTTTTGTAATTTAGTTATTTCTTTATTTACACAATGTATAGATCTATAAATAGGGATGAAATTGTGTAATAAAGTATGATTTTCCCTCTTAAATCCCTAATTTCAACATGGTATTAGAGACACAAATGAAGTAAAGA